AGGACTTGCATACTGAAAAACTTACACTTTGCTACATCACCTCCTTCAAAGATTATTTTCACTTAAGGTTCGGTATTTGTATAAAGATCTTCTACTTTAAATTGGCTACATAAGAAGGGAAGCATAGCTAAAATGAATTTTATGATTCCTTACACATGTATTCCAGTTCCCATGCAGAAGTCACTGAAATTACTGGTCTACGCTTCCCATAAAGCAACACCTAGATCATAATATTAAATAGGTCTAAGTCATTACAAAAGCTGTCTTCTGAGAATGTTATCCTTACTTTAAAGCAGAATAGAATACCAAACATATTTATACATCATACATACACTATGCAATGTCTCTTAAACAAAAAAAATCAAAGTAGTGATACTATTGTTATTCTAATGAATGATTTACAATATATGCAAAAACATTGACTTAGGTTCAGTATGAATACTACTACTCAGTCTCAACTCAGTCAGAAAGATTGTAAAGTTGGATAACATCATCTTCAGCAAGATAAAACATCCTGTCAACAGCCATTCATCAACTGGGGTATGCAGAAGGGTTCCTTAGCTGTTGAGACCATTCCACAAATAAGAAATTAACAAGTCTCTCAAGGACACTCTGTAAGAAGATCTGTTTGTAGAATAGTGAGTAATTTCCCTCAAGGATGAAGAACCAGTGGTATCAAAACTGCTAAAAAAAATTTTTTTAAGTTTATACAGTTGTTATCTAGCTAAATAATAAAAATGTTAAGTTGCACTAGTCTATGCTTCTTTTTATACTCAGCTCTTGTTAGGCTACCATCAAGAAGTCTAATAATGTAAAATAAGGAAAAAGTCTCTTGTCTCAAGTAACTGCTATTAAGCTTCACTGGCAAGTTACTGGAAAGACATACTGTAAGCTCCTGGCAAGTAGTTTAACATGCAAGTAAAAATTTCAGCATTTATAGTCATTTGTAAATACTGTGTTTGGCAGAATCAGAATCAACTTCCAAAAAGATTGTTCTAGAAATTAGAAATAAACCCCTGCCTCCAAAACTGATGACACATCAACGCTGAAAATTGTGTCTAGTCACTCTGGGTGCCCTATTGAGTTCTACGCCTACACAATCAGGTTGACAACTTTCCCTCTCAAAAGGCAGTCTGAAACAGTTTTGACAGTATTTGTTACGGATTTACCTTTGTGATGAATGCCACAATTAATAAAATAAGTTGAGGACAATTATTCTCTCTACACAGAAGTCTGAATATTGCATAAATGAAGTATCAGAGATAATAGGGTCACTTGAAATGTAAACACTACTTACACCTGCCACAAGATAGTGTGAGTAGAGTAGCTATATTAAATCATCTTAACTCTTGAAAGCTGCTTCTTGGATTTATGCCACAGAAAACTAGTCTACCGAGACACATGCTCTTGATCTCAGATTGTTTCTGGAACAAGACTTTTGTTATGCGTAAACTCCTTATCTTTGCTATGCCTGTAACTGGTCTGCTAAGAATAACATTATTGCTAAGAATAACAATTTTCCCTTAAACTGTATCTAGGAAACATATCCTCAAATCAAGGTGGAAAACTAACTACACATTTAAAAAGACAGGTCCTAGTAATATCAAGCCAAGCATTAACTCAGGTTTAAGAAAGCTTTCATTAAACATGGTATTTAACAGAAAACACCTTTTACAAGATGGCATGAAATACCTCTGCCATAACTATTCCTGCCTTACTTTGTTATTACTCTCATTCATTGCAGCTCAGAGTCTGGCATCAAGTTAAGAACATTAGGTGCTCTTTAAAGTGTTATTTTAAGATGTTATTCCCCTTTCTAGCTCTTCTGTAAACTGACATTTGTTATTTCAAAGTAAGCCCTTACAGCTTCAGTAAAGAGCAGTACCTTTATTTAGTACACACACAGTCTGCCCACAATTGCAGTTTACCATCTCTACCCATTTCTCTTTTACAGGAAGAGAGTTATGAAACAAATAGCTTGTGCCTAACCTTTATAACCTAAACACTGTCACTCCAGATATGTACCACACTTTCCCAGCCACCATAAACAGCATGCAGAGCTTGGGAAGCCCTAACTCCGAGATCTGTTTTCCCCTTTAAGCATCTGACCCCCTTTCCATCAGTATTTCATCACAAAATTTCCAGAAAATAGAAGTATCCAATACTGACAACACCAAGAAACTTCTGATTTAGTATTAGTAGAAAAATTACGCCTTTTACAGCATCAAATCAATCAACATTAGTTTGTACAGGCTTTAAAGCAGTTAAGTATGCCCTGTCCATGCTGGCTCTTAAAGGTTTAGTGCTTCACATCATAGCTGAACTGAATTAGCTGCTTGCTGCCTCTCCTTGAAAATGAATCAACACACACCTCTGGAAAAGTTCCAAATTCCTAGAACTCCTTTTCAAGTCACCAGAAAAACAAGTTGGAAGACTGGACTGAAACAGTTTCACGTCTTAAAACACTTCCAATACCTAACGCTTGACTATAGGTCTTCCTAAGCCTACAAGAAAACATTCACAAGTCAGTAAGGAAAAATACTACTATCCAGAGGTTTTTTAATTGCAGCCAACAAGTCTATTTCTCCCCGGTAAGATTTTAATACCAGAATTAAAAACCAAAACCCCCAAAATCCCACATACCTGCTTTAATCATAATAGCCTATAAATAATGACCTCATAAACAAACATAGCTGTAAGTTCACATAAATGTATCCTCTAAAACACCCTGAATCTAAAGAATTTCTTTTGGTGAATCTCAGAGAGGAGAACTACATGAGTCATAAACAACTGCACTTATATACCTTTCTCTTTCATACAGGAAAGGAAAAACTTCTTGTTCTTACTTTGGAACAGTTTCCACTGATAGAAGTCAAAATACTTGCCCGTCCCTCCCTTTCCCCATTCTAACATTAAAAAAAAAAAAGGACCAATTTTCTTACAAATATATAAGATACTACAAAATATATGTAATTGCCCAAAATAATTATATATAAATGTATATATATCTAATGATAATTACTTATGTGTGAAAATGTTTGCCTATATGAGGCTTCAGATATGTGACTGGAATACATTTTTCTTGTCAGATACTTCTTATTAGTTATTTGTTTAACCTCTGTATAGCCAGCCCTCTCTCACACTGAGTGACTCCAAAGAGAGTGAGAGAGCCAAAGGAAAGATAAGGCTCCATGGCTAAGAGTAAGAGGAGGACAGTGATATCTCCTCATCTCTTCCTTTCAACAGCTGTTATGTTGACTCAGTTGCTCATGAAACAGAACTCTTGCTTTCACCTTAATTTATTCTGTGGCTGTAGGTAAGACAGGGGTATTTACACAGTCACCAATACAAGTGCTTAAAGTGCCTCAAGCAGCCTGAACCCCTTGCCTTCTCATCCAGTATCTTGTGTAACTACAGTGTTGCACTAGCTGAAGCACACTCCTGCAAGTGTGCTACAAGAGACTGGGGAAGTGATCTGGCTGCATGTTCCCACATCTTGGTTGAGGCATTACAGCTGTTCATGCTGCTGCACAGCAAGCTACTCCAGCTGAACGCCTGCTTCCCCTTAACCCCTGCCTCTCTGCAAAACACACACGTTTTTTCTGGGTCATGTCCCATACAAAGGCAAGAGAAAGAAATGAGGGAGGAAGATAGCTTAAATCTGCACTGAATATTTAACTGCAGAAACAGACACAGCAGTGGTTTCACCACAGCTCAACCCTATCTAAAATGGCATTGTTGCAGCCTCCACCGCTGCACCTCTCAGCCTCATATTCACACTTCCTTCCTCTGCTCAGCGCTGGCACACATCCAACTGCGTGGCAAACTGGTTTGGGGTGCTCAGCTATTGAGATCTTTCTTATTATTTTTCCTTTGTCAGGACTGTTATATTTTCTGCTGGCTTAACATACTTAACCAGGCTTATGGCACGGTCAAACAAAAGTGTCAGTACAAGATGGAAAGCAGTAACAGACTGAAGGGAACAGAGCAAGCGTATGATTGCAACAAACAACTTTAATCACTTTAAACTGTCTCTTGCTAGACCACAGTATAAGAAAATGTGACAGCAACCTAAATCAACTTTTCTCAGCTAGAAACTGCTGCTCTCTGGTGTTCTGAACCAGTAAGAGTCAGTTCTGTCAGGAAATACTACTTAGTGCATCTATTGATAGTCTTCTAGCATTTTGCAAATGTTAATTAAGCTTCAGAGCATTCTGTCTGAAAGGTGAGTAAGTAAGACTTTAACACTGGATCTCCCTAGCTTTTTTCTCCGGCTTCACTAAATAGCATCCATGAATCTTCATCCCCATCTACTTCCTTTTCAAGTCAGTGAGAAACTGTACCTTAGATGAAGTATCTAATTTTGCATTTTGCTGTACGAAACTAACTCAATGCCATTTTTGCTGCTAAATGCAGGATCCCGAGTCAGACAGCGAACACTCACAGGATTCCATAATGCTTTAACTGACAACAGATTGCAGAATGTACCATTTACCACGGAACTAGAAGCACTGCTAATCTGTTCAGACTCTCAGTATTTGAAATGCACGACCACAGTCACAAGGACACTCAGCTTTCAGAAAAACAAAACAAACATCTCCCTCATGGCCCCTGTTCCCTGAGTTTTGATTCTGCAGAATTTTACATCATTCATACTAGGAAATTACTTACCAACAGCCATCATTTTTTCAAACCTACAATCTCAGAAGCAAGCTTTCCTTGGAAAGCTTCATAATGTTTTGGGTTTTTTTTTAAATTTTTTTCCTGTGACAAATTTGAACAGCAGCATGTTATTTATTTATTAGCATGCACAGGGACAGAAAACAGTGCAGGTCATCTGCCGTTCACTGGTTTTATTCCTAGAATTTCATGATGGCCATCAAATTCTGATTCCTTTTAGCGATACTAGTTGCACTTGAAGGAAAAACAGATCTTTTATCTCGAGAGAGAAAAAAAAAAAAAAAGCATGTTAGGCAAACAGAAAACCACCACAAACTTACTCTCTAGTTCTTCTTTCTCAAAGTTTGTATTGATAGTAGAGCTGATTTTGCCCATATCCACAACAGCTTCTTCATCATGACCCTGAAGAGACAAGACACAAGTTAAAACTAAATAGAACTAATTCTTTCTGAATTCCTAAATATATTCTGCAGTTATGAAGCTGTCAGTTTTCTAAACCAACACATTTTCACTTCTTAGAAACCGAGAAAGAGAATGTCACTTAAAATCCACCCATCCAATTCTTCAAGAAAATATTACCCTGTATTGAAGGAAAAACAGTAAATCTACAGATATGCTAAATACCAGGCAGTTTCCTTTTGCAATGTGCTTGATTTCATCGTATCAAGAATCAGGACATGCATTTCAGGAGTGCGATATTCTTTTAGTTTTACGTTCAACAGCAATGAATCTACTTCAATAAAATAACTGGCAAATTTATAAAAAGTTACGTAAGTTAACATTCAGAGTTCTTGAACCAATTTGCTTAGGGGACAACTCCTGTGTGAGATTTTCAAGCACAAGTAAAAAGCTTTTGTGAGCCAAAGGTTACATAAAGAGGTGGCTAAGAGTTAAGTTACACAACTTGGGGATCTCTCTCAGACCAACAGTTTTGGAAAGATCAAAGTAACTGTTTCACTCAGGTTTCAACAGACAGCTTGTTAACCACACCCCTATCTAATTCACATTTTTTATGCACAAAGTTAGAAAACAGCAGTTGCAAGACAATCCGTTCAGATTCCATTACCTCTGAAACCATACTGCTCATAATGCAAAAGCACGTTATTTGAAATAGATATAGGCTCAGCAGTGAGTCTTATCTGTGAACATGTCCTCTAAACACATTTAGCACATCACTGAAGCAGACCTTTAAACACTTTTGCTCAATCTTGACAAAAATAAACCTTAAATTAACTGAGCAGTAGAAAACTCATCATCTCATCTCACACTTAACATCAAAACAACATTAAAGTTGCCTTTCTCTGAATGCTTGCATTCCTTAGAACACAGTCCACTTTTAACAGCTCACAAATTACAGCCTCCTAGCAGAACTGGTTCTCCAAAAGAACTGCTGCCTACCCTAAGGGTAATGCTTTACTTCACATCCGCGTATGTATAACGGCAGGCTAACTGCTGAAGAACACTGTCCCTGCTCTTTTGGCTCCCTTGGGCGCACACTTTTTTCCTTAAATCAGATCTGTCAGTCATGAAGTCAGATACAAAAAGCTGAAGCAATCAATTTTTTTATTATTATTATTTTAAACAACTTGATTAGTTTTCCATTGGATCAGTTCACCAAACTGACTTTTCTTGTGGCCATATGACAGCTAAATCCACCACAAATCAATCTGTTTGATCACTGCTTCTGGCAGCAGCCCACTGGTGCATTTACATCGGTCGATGTGGGATCTGTGATAATGGTTTCATGGGGGAAAAAAAGGAAGCCTAAATCAGGAGTCTTATAGGGACTGGTAACCCTAACAGTGTTGATATTCACATAAACTTTGATCTTAGAATTACTCAATAGTGCAATGCTTTAAATACAGATTTGTCATCTCACAGGGAAGTGACAAGGATGAAAAACATACCTGTGGTAACAGTTAGAAGTTAAAACATACTGTAGCAACCCCCATTAAAAACAAAAAACAAAATTTTGAACACATAACTCCTTAGTCTTTCTAAAATAGATATTTATTATAGCGTATTGTGCGCACACACACACACAAAAAATCCAAATATGTGTTTGACTATTGAGTAAAGTAATTAAAGAATATGAAGACGACAATGACACATATAGGGAAAAATTTCAGATGAGGTCTTTTTTTTAAAAAAAGGGGGGGGAGGGAGGGCTAAAAGCAGTTAGACCACAAAAAAATAAAGCAGCTGGCACTATGTAAATAAGCAAGATACAGAAGAAGAGGGGTATATGGCAGAATAAACCTCTGAAAAACTAAATAGAGGTCGATTCTGAGCTGTATCCCTAGAAGTGGGGTGTTACACAGTAACATAACTTTGTCACTACTGCTGCATTGCAAAAGTCGAGTCTTTCATGTACGTTCGAAAAAGCCAAGACTCCTGCACACTCCAGACAGCTACAATTAAAAAAATCCAGGTGATTAAACCAAGTCATGTTTGATGGCCAAAGCTATGAAAACGTAACAAGGGCCTATTAACAAAAAAGTGGCAGAAATTTAGAAAGTGTCATAGTAATAAAGGGGGTGGTGGGGGTGGGGTAGGGGAGGTAGTACATTCCTGTCTCCTACACACCAAAACAAAATTAAAGAGCCCTCCAGAAGGTGCCTTCATGATGTAATTGGCCTCTCATCTCTTTGATAACCATTCCGGAGGTAGGGAAAAACACAGTTGCCAAGTGAATCTTGGCTCTTATCTTTACTGAAGATGTATTTTCCAACACAACTTAGGAAAAAAAATTTAACATGCATAAACTCAATAGCAAAAACAGGTCTCTAAGCAGCAGCATTAAAAAGCTGAAGTTAACAATCTTTTGAGGCACCAAATAAGTACAGCAAAACATTTAGCTGCACTGGTAAGGCCGTAACACTACCGAGGAGGGGTCAAGCATACCTACTTTCCAATTTATCTCAGTGACACAGAAATAGAAAGTTATAGGACTGTAGTACACTTCAGTTCACAGAAACAGATATGCACACAAATCCTGCACATTACCAGAAAACTTAAAATAGAGACGGAAATAGATGAAGCATTACAAATCCACTAAATTATCTTCAGTGTCTTATGAGAGAGTAAAAACCTAATATTAGGAAAACTGCTATCAAAACCTCTTCCACAATTAGCTTCATAGTTACAGCCATAGACTGCTGAAATATCCTGTACCTAACTTCCCCCCCCCCCCAATTGTCCTTTTAGGACACTTCAAAGCTTGCCAAACAGAGTTTTTGAGCCATAAAGGAAGACAAAGTTTTTCTCCAGATTATACAGACTACTGCATACTCGTAGAAAATTACATACACACTGTGGAAAATACACACAGAGGAAAAGATTTTATATCCCAGTAACATTTTGAAACTGTACTTGCTGTATGCCTTATACCATGTTATTAATATTTATCACCCTTTGCTTTAGTAACAGATACCTTGCCAACCTTATACATACAGAGGCAGCCTTCAAAGCCACATCACGTGAAAGTAACATGTCTTTTGAGATTAGATTACAGAAAGGCATGTGTGCCCTTGCAAACCGTTCTATTGCTATCTCAAAGTACTCAACATATGCAAAGACTCTTCCAAGAATAAACCATTAGCAACCACAAATATCATACATGAAGAAACCCTATCATTTACAGCCTTTGTTTAGAAAAGCACAAAGCATCATTTTAGCATAATCATTTGTGATGCCAAGAGCAAATCCCACCATGAGATACTTTTGCCTTAGGACAGGTAAAAACCCCAAAATACTCAAATCTGCTCTAAAAAATTCCAAGCTACAACCTTTTCCTTGCTAAAAAAGAAAGTCTGTAGGCCATAGGTTTCCAGTAATTATAGAATATCTACCATGTCAGTTTAAGGCACAAAAGTGAGAGAACTGTTTTAGTTGCTGAATCAAGATGCATTCCCATTCTAGTTACCTCTTATTTTCTGAGCTTTTTACATAAACTAAGAAAGGTGGGATTGTTCAAAAACTCGTCAGCTTCCCTTTCTTAGGCACAGATAATGACTTCATCTTAAAGCAAGCATTCCTCTGCAGTTTACCATCCATTTCGTGTGAAACTTTATGTACAATAATCCCACAGCTGCCCAAAAAAAACAGCTGATGAAGACAAGCCAAAGTAAAATTTAAGACTAATCTTGGAATGTATGTAACTTCTCTTTTCAGTCAAGAGACAGAACAATTGAGAAGGGAAAAAATGAACACAAGCAGCAACCAAGGTGCCCCAGGGAGAGACTAAGCCTTCACCTTTGGTTTGCTTTTTCAGAAGGAGATGGTCATTTATAAAAACAGAACAAATCCAAAGTACTTCAGGGGGGAGGGGACCCGCCGGAAATCCAGTCTATTAAAACATACTAAGTATACTTCTTCCTAACAACAAATTTGTGGATACTCACAAACGTACTGTAGAAACAACCTTCCAGCAAAACCTTGGTATTCAGCCAGAGGTGCCTACACATACCACTAAATGTCCTCTTAGCCTTCCAACTTTCCCCAGCATGAAAATGAAACCCCTTTTTAACTGTTTCTGACCAGACAAGACTTTCAAATACTCTTTGCTCTAGCAGAATCCCAGTAGGATTCCTCTTGCCACCTCTGATTTTCAAATGTCTTTTCTCAGTCCAGAAGAGAGTAATTCCCCTTTCATTGCAGACAAACAAGTACCCAGAAATCGTTTACACTTTACTTATTTACCTTCTCAAACATTTGTCTTCATTTAGTATGATACACTTTTCACATCGAAAATATGAACGCTACATGTTTTTTAAAAGTAGTATGTAAAAAAAGTCAATCCTAAATTGCATGAATCATTAAGGAAAGCACTCAAGTTTCCAAGAACTAAGTTGTCAACCTCCAGTAGCATGTGTTAGTTACCATCTAGTGGACTGGCACAAACATGACGCACAGAATATTAAATCTAAAGGAAATTTTCCACTGTCATCTGTACAAGCTCTTCTCACCATGCAACTCGCCTAACCTTATGCAGTCACATACACACGACAGACTTCAGACGGGCACACTGCCAAAGTGCGTTACCAAATAGCCACTTCCAAGAGATACAATTTGCTAGCAACGCGTTTTTAAAGGTACTTGAAACGCAGTTCAGTCAATTTGTTCTGGTGATAGACAGTGATCATACAAATGGCTCATACAGTTAACTGTAAACCTTTGAAATGTAAGAGTAATACAGTAATTGTATTGAGAATAATTTGAGCTCAACATTTAAAACCATTACTTAGCTAAGTCAATGTTCATATGCTCCATTTACATCCCCTCAGCCAAAGTTCTTCCCGAACAGAGTTGGGGTACTACCTGCAGCACTAGAAGAGATAGCACTAGCGTTCATGGGAATAAGTAGGGGCACAGGAGAGAACACAAACAAACAAACCA